TTAAAGTGTGATTATAGTATTATGCTTCAAAGTAAAATTATTTTAAATGTAGTGATTACATTATAACATAGTATGCTTCTTTAAAATAAAAGTTTTAAATTAACACAACAATTAAAGCAATTACCAAAATGACATTGTCCACATGTAGAGTTTACTGTAAAGTTTTGCCTTTAGAGTTTGCATGTAGAGTTTTTTGTTTATTATGTATCCATGTTTTTATTTGCGGCGATGTCCGGTGAGATAAACATTTGTATTTCTTTTTTATTTCTTGAATTTCTCGTAAAGATGGTAACGTTAAGTTCTCCATATGTGTGGCGAATGCTTGAAGAACTGTTTCTCTTTCTTTTTCTGTCCAGCGCGTCCTTTTGGTTTTGCCATAAGGAGATGCTAGAAGAAGAACCATGTATTTTTAAAATAGTATATACATATTAAAAGCGATAAATAATGAATCACAAAAATAGATATAAATTAAATAAATTAATAAATGATAAAAATATATATATATCAATTAAACAAAGTATGTTAAAATATAAAAATAAAATTTTATTTTATTAGCTTTACATTTTACAATTTAATTATTAATATAATAGAGAGTCATGAAAGAGAATAGTAAAAATTAAGCAAAAATTCTCGATAATATTTATAATTTATATATTTTTAAAATTTTTTCTAAATGATTCTTTTTCAATAGCTTTTCAACACATTCAGCAATTACTTTACAACACTATCTTGAATAGTCACATTTTAATATTGCTTATCAAAGAAATAAACCTAAGAAAAATATAATTCATAAAATTTATTGTAATGCTATTCAATAGCGTATAACATTTTTTAATATGTAGCTTTTAACGTTGTAAATATCACTATGATTAATTGCAACTTTTTTAATATTTATATATTTTGTTAATATTTATGAAACATTTCTGCAACATTCGAAGAGACTATTGTTTAGTAATATCTTTGAAGTATTTTTAAAATAAGTGAATTTTAAGTAAAAATTTTCACAAGATATTTTTAAAATCAATAAATGTTAACCTAATATATATATTTTCTGTATTTATTGTATACACAACCAAAATATAAATTTTAATAAATTTTAAAAATTGAATTTTAATAAATTGATGTAAAATACTTACTGGATCTCTTCCGTTTATTATTTTTTTGTATTTTCTTAGTAATGCTATCATCAGATGCATTATATCCCAGGTAGCAAGCACGTCATTTTGACGTTTCAAATTGGTCATTCACTGACTATTCTTGCCGTCATGAGTTGACGTTTTTATGACGTAAAAGTGACGGTCTAATGTCACAGACTGTTGACGTCACGAAAAGAACCACATTTGACGTCATTTCATGATGTCTTTCCAGATTAATATAATGACGTCATTAAGACGTTCTTTGGCCCTGCGCACAATGGAGAAAATATTAGAAATAAATATTAAATATATTAGGAATAATAAATATTTTAAAATAATTATTATTCCTAATATTTAATATTTATTCCTAATATCTTTTTTATAGTGTGCAGAGTTTTAATATAGTTAACAATTAATGGGTGCGGACGTGCGCGCGCACACACATATGCACACACACATGCGCACGCACACACACACACACACACACGCGCACGCACGCACGCACGCACGCACGCACACGCACACGCACACGCACACATATATATAAAACTTGGATGAAATATGTAAATATATGTATATATAAATTTTTTATTATTATCAAATTTTAATATAAACAGAAATTTATTAATATATTATACTGAGAATATACTTATAATTATTATAAAATAAAATGTAAACTTATTATAATAGCCATAATATAAAAACTTATTATTAAATTTTACAATCATAATATATATTTGTGATTATTAATAGTTATCTTAAATTGCACAATATGCATTGCATATATATCATAATGCAATATGCATTATGATTGTTAAATTATTTGAAATAAATGTTCACAAATATTAAATTAAAAATTAATAATAAAATATTAATCAATGTGTGTGTGTATGATTGGAAAACAAACATAAGTATTATCATTAATATAAAATACTACAATACATTTGCTGCTAATGAGACTAATAGGCCATATTTTGAGATTACTGAAATTTTTGAGAATATATATATTAAGTAACGATGAGTCGCACGGATATAAATATAATGGTGATTGTTTAATAAAATGTTTTCCAATAATAAAAATATCACCTTTTGTTGTTTCTACAATATTATGTATTTTATTACTTCTGTGTTGCCTCTCAAATTACAATAACTGTCTGCAATGCTGTAGCGATTGATAGAAAATGACAAATTTGTAAAACTGATTTTTTTATATTGTTTGTACCATTGACAAGAAATATAGTTTAATAAAGGTCCATTTTTATGTTCTATGTCAACAAAATATTTAGCTTTGACTTCTTTTAAGTTACATTTATTTATTTTTAAGAAACAAGAATTTATTTCTTGAATTCGACGATGTATTTGCTGTAATGGATTACTAGAAGATCTTATTAATTTTTTTAAATGACCAAGATAATTTTCAAACGGAAACGCAGAAAATTCATCTAAAGGACCATAAATTTCTACGTCGTCGCATATATGTGTTAAAAGATGAATATTGTAAACAGCAAATTCCAGACCGTACAATTTACTTTTGCAATGATTGATAAAAACTAGTAGGCATTCTCGTGCAAATGGAATTCCAAAATTATTTATATGTTTTTGTGATATTAATATGGAAATAACAACATGCAGCAATAGAAAATTTTGATAAATAGCTTTGTCCACAATATCTTTTAAAACTAAAGGACCGATGTAAATCAAAAAAGTTCTAAACTCTGTGGCTTTCCAATACGCTAGCTCATTTAAGGACCGAAGTTTTCTATTAAACTCCAATGGAATAAATGGCCGTAAATTAATGAGACGTTGTGAGAGAATTTGTACCTTTCTGTTAGGTAATCTAACGTTTAATGGACCTCCAACCCATGTATTTAATAGCTTTCTCATTACGCCTAAGCAAATGTTATGCATGTAGTCTGTGGGAAAAGATGTTATTAAATCTATAGGTAAATCCATTAAAGGAGATAAGCTATGATAGTGATCATCATCTATCTGTTTCCTAAAAGATTCGTCTGTGCGCTTTTGAGCTGTTTCACTTGTAAAAACAACTTTATTTTTATAATATTCTCCAGGTTCGATACATTTATCACATGAAGAATACCCCGAATGTGTCTTTGTACATTTTAGAAAAGCACGAGCAGGAGCATCGCATATAAAACTATGGATTTCTATTTTAAAGTGATTCCCATTAAAATCAAATCCATTTTTTAATAAATCATTTAATTCATCTATAAAATTCCTTAGAAAAAGATTTAAAGGTTTAGGCTTTGACGTGCCACAAAAAATTGAAATAATAAATGGAATACTATGAAAATTTTTAATAAGTCCCAGAATAGGCCATAGTTGTAATTTGTTACTTTTAAACAATGGGATACCATCTACATTAAAACAAATTTTTAATGTTTCATCAGACTCTAAACATTCTTGGATATACTTTTGTGACAATACATTTTTCAAAGCTATGTTCAAACCTAAGTAACAAAATTCTCCAGTTTCTAATTTATTAATTCGCGTAAAACTTGGAGTGTTCAATAATGTACGGGAATCTAATGGTAATTCAGAGTGATAGGAGGAAAGTATGTGCAAAAGATCTGTTACAGCTAAATGTGATATGTGTCTTTCAGTGGCCCATTTCATTAATTCAAACATAAAATTACTCTGATTATCTAAGCTACTGTTTATATCTGTGTCAGAAAAATTATTTATTACCTTATTAGAAAAATCAGACACGGCATCAATAGTTAAATAGTTATCGTTTTGAAAATTTGAAGAGACAATTACATTTTCAAAATTTTCATTATTGCTCGTTTTATTATTAGTACTCTTATTAGTATCTAAATCATTTAATGATCCATTATATATTTCGTTTGATAGGTTCAAATTATTACAAGGTGTTCTATTAGAAACATTAGCAACAAATATTTTGTTTACAGCTTGCGTTACTCTTCGATATTGCTGGCGCCGTCCAACAAATTCTTTACGTTTACGTCTAGTTTTTAACATAATGATAAATGTTTGCAAATAAACGAAAACAAAAGATATAATATTTTAATAAACAATTATTAAAATGAATAATGCAAACTTAAAACGTGAAATTAATAAAATTAATATTAATTTATCACACACAATAGACAAAATAAAAATAAAAAATAATACATACGTGTACAATATAATACAATATTTATAACCTTTCTCGATGTTTTCTTTTCAAACTTTCCTTTAATCTATCAGAAGCGTGTTTTAACCAAGTTTTGATTGCATCTTCAATATCTTTTTCTGTGGTTGAAGGTGATTTTATTTGCACACCACCTATAAACAAAACAGAAAAATTTTATACAATTTATTTCTAATGAATTATATATATTATATCAAGAGAGAAATTTTATTTTTAAACAATTTTAATTAATTTTTGTAAAATATTTAATGTTGTCAAACTTATGGACTACCACAGTCTTCAAAGAAAGCTTCTCAAAAGCTTCCTTATTTTTTTGTCCTGCAAAGTTGAAACTTTTCGCAAGTTCGTTAGTGAAAACTTTTAAAATTTTATTAGTTCTTGCAGTAGTAGTGTCACCTCCTAATGTTGATAAGAACAATGACTGTAAAATAATAAAAAAAATTAACATTAATGCATGCATAGGCACATATATATATATATATATATATATATATATATGCAACACATACATACATACACATATAATAGTAATAGTAGTAATAGTAATAATAGCATATGTGTCTGTATATGTATGTTAAAATATGTAATTAGAATAAATTTATACCACAGCGTGTTTATTTTCACGGGAGCTAAAATAATTTTCTAATAGTTGCAATTCTTCGCGTGTTTTCAATGGAAATTCAACAGGATAATCATCTGGGATAGAGAGTATGCCACCTTGAATGTTGGAATGCCTTAATATTCCATAAATTTTTTTAACTTGTTCTCGAACTTTTTTTATTTCAGTAAAAATTTGTTCTGAAAAATTTAATATAAATAGACATTCTAGTATACAAAAAAAATATTTATTTATTTTATAGAATAATAATAAGACATACCAGTAAAGCTACGAAAATATGGTCCTCCATACGATTCATTAATAAGAGTTGAATTTACAGACTCTGATCGAGAACTGATGTTTGTGGAAACAGATAAAGATGGTGATGGTATTGTGATTCTATTTAAAGAATTTATATCCTTTAATCTCCTAGTAATAGTATTATCTAAGTGTACAGAAGAATCTGAATTTATGTATAGTTGCGATACTATAATATAACAAATTTAAAAAAATACAAACATTAGAAACAAAATTTTAAAAATATGATGCTTTATTTTTTTTAATATTTTGCTATTTCTTTATACCTGTTTCTGGAGGGCCTTTTGATGTCATAGACACTGGCACTGGTGTTAAAGATCTTTGTTTATCTTGTAGCGCATGTGCTAAACAATAATGCTTAGATAATAAAATGCTTCCAATATTTACAAAAAGATAAAATTAGATTTATATTTATTAATTAAAAATTTAAATTTCTAATTGAAAAATATTTTTACCAAATGTGGAAATCTTTGGTGGTCGATGTAAAGAATGGTCATTTTCATCATCTTCTTCTTCACTTGTAGATATGTATTTAGAATTTCGTTTTGGCTGTCTTTTTTTTGATTGCTCTTTATCTTCCACTGTAGAAGACTGTACATCAGAAAATTCTTCACACTTTTTTAGTTTCTTATTAACTTTCTGATATTCATCTATAATTAACAAAGATAAAATTGTTAAAAATAAGTTTTATAAACATAACCTATTTTTATACAATAAAATTTATTAATTAAAAATATCACAATATACAATATAATATTAATTAAATAAACAATTAATATATTCAATATACTCAATATACACAGATACACACACACACACACACACAAATATATGTATACGCACCACAAGAAAAAAGTATTTGTTTAATACCGTATAATGTCCATGTTTCATCTTTTGGTTTTTCTTCAAGGATGAGTGCTTTCTTAAATTGTGTACCAGTTTTATACGGAGGCCACCAAACCTCTTTTTTTCGTGGTGTTAACCATGAACGATGTACTAAAGCAATTGATGCTTCATCAAGATCACTAGTAATAAATTCGACGCCAATAAAAGTCATTTTAGTAATGATTATATAATCAAGAAAATATATTACGTATAAATATATGAAATAATAAAGTTTATACGGAATTTCGAATGTTCGCTTGCGTCTGAACAAGAACGGACTTGCACTAGGAGCACGTGGACCTAACATAGACTGATAATTTATTCCGCCGATATAACAAATGCGCAATAAACGACGCACGCGCGTAATCTGTTTCACGCACTTGACATTCACAATGCTCGTGGCATTATTTTATTTTTATTGTTCTCCAAAAGAAAAAGACAGATTTTATGCTCGCAAGTGTTGCAAACGCTTTTTATTTGCTTTTGCTACTTCGATACAATGATTGCATTCAAGCAGTAAAACTTATGTCATTAAACGTCAAAATGACGTTATTTTAACGTCTACTGACGTCATTCAGCGTCAATATGACGTATACTTGCAAATATTCGTATTTATATATTTTTCATTTCAATATGTAATAGGATCTATCTAAAAATTGTACATAGTTTTTTAGTATAAATAAAGTCAAACACAAATACTTCTTATCAGGAATTGTTTAAATAAATGGCATCCTTTTTCAGATTGACACAAACTATAATATGTAAATTAAATAAATGTAGGACTTAAATATTATGTCATACTAACGTACTATATAATGACGTCATTATAAAATGAATGTGGGACTTAAATATTATGTCACACTGACATACAATAATGACGTCATTATAATATCATTCAAATGACTTATATTGGGTTGGGGAAAAAGTTTCTTCGTATTTTCCGGCAGATGGAATTAGAATCGCATAACCTTGATAATATTAATCGGATCTGTCAATACTTTGTGTGCGTTTGAAAGGTGACATATCATAAAGAAAAAGTAGCAAAAAAGTAGTGATATTTATCTATTCAGTTAAAAGTTATTGCATCTTGAAAATGAGTGAAGAGAAAGAAGAAATTCGATACATTTTAAAATTTTATTTTAAAAAAGGGAAGAATGCAACTCAGGCAGCTAAAAAAATTTGTGATGTTTATGGACATGATGCTGTATCAATACGTGTTGCACAAATCTGGTTCAAGCGTTTTCAATCTGGAAATTTTAATGTCAAAGATACACCTCGCTCTGGTCGACCGATCACTGAAAAAGTCGATGAAATTATGGAAATAATTGAACAAGACCGGCATATTAGCAGTCACGAAATCGGTAAGCAACTGAACATCGACCACAAAACAGTTTTAAACCATTTGCAGAAAGCTGGATACAAAAAAAAGCTCGATGTTTGGGTGCCACATGATTTAACAGTCAAAAATTTAATGGATCGATTTTCTATCTGCGAATCATTGTTAAAACGAAACGACATCGAACCATTTTTGAAACGGCTCATAATAGGCGATGAAAAATGGATCACGTATGACAATAATGTACGAAAAAGATCGTGGACAAAGCGAAATGAAGTTCCGCAAACTGTGGCAAAGCCAAAATTGACGCCAAGAAAAGTGATGCTGAGTGTGTGGTGGAATTACAAAGGAATTGTTCACTACGAGCTGCTGCCGTCCGGTCAAACAATTGATTCTAACCTTTACTGTCAACAACTGGAAAGATTACGCCAAGCAATTGAGAAAACGCGACCAGAATTGATCAATAGGAAAGGCGTCGTCTTTCATCACGACAACGCGAGACCTCATGTATCTATAGCGACTCGTCAAAAATTAAGAGAACTTGGCTGGGAAGTTTTGATGCACCCACCTTATAGTCCTGACCTTGCACCATCAGACTACCATTTATTTCGATCTCTACAGAACTCTCTTAATGGTACGAAGTTGGCTTCAAGAGAGGCCTGTGAAAATCACTTGTCACAGTTTTTCGCCCAGAAATCACATAAGTTCTACAGTGACGGGATTATGGTTTTACCTCAAAGATGGCAAAAGGTGGTCGAACAAAACGGCACATATTTAATTTCATAAGCTTCAAATATGAATAAAATTTGTTTCATTTTTGCAATAAAATACGAAGAAACTTTTTCCCCAACCCAATATATGATGTCAATTTTTGGTCACTTGACGTCATTCGTACAAACATGACTAGTATTTGACGTCAAAATGACGAACCTTTGCTACCTGGGATGAGGATGTATCTGAAATAAATATTTTGTTGACATTAAAAACAAATTTCGAATAAATATGCGCAAGGTGAAAAATTGAACTTGTTACAATCTAACATTCTTGAAACTTCCTACCAAACAATCCAAGCAAGAAATCATTAGTATAAAATTATTATTTCAATAACATTTTATAACAAGTAATATTTTTAAGTAGCAGTTCTTAATATTATACATAATATTGTGAATAATATTTAATTTAAACATTAAACATAACATTTCTAGACTATGATTTTAATAAAATTAATAAAATATTAATTTTTCAACTTATAAATTATAAGTTTTATTAATCGTCAATATTATTTTAACGATTTTAAAGTATTTTATGTTTCTTTTTCAAGATCATGTGTAGCTATAAATTAGATATTGTCATATCTATAGATATCAAAAATATTATGTAACATTTAATTTTTCACCTCGTATATTTCCTGTTAGATAAAAATAGAGAATTAGTTCTAATATAATTACTTAAAGAAACATTCTCTTTGTCCATTATTATGTCGTTATTATTCTCATCTTCTCCATCTTCGTATTAGCTATCTGATGAAGATTCGTTTAAATCTTGTTCATTACCTTGGACTGCCTCTAAATATTGCGAGATTTTAAGAATATCTCTACTAGCTAGAGGTTGTCTATAATGCTCTCGATGAATTTTTTCTGCGTGTCCCATGAATGTAGCTAAATCGGAAACATCGATATCATTCAGATTCAATTGTATACAATGAGTTGCTACGTGTTTCCGTAAAATCGTGCCGCGTAAACTTGATGATTCTATTGCATTGCATTCGCTTGAGAATTTACGCATTAAAATGCAAGCTCTTAGGTACCTGTACCTATTTTTGTTAGAACCGCGTAATCCAAAAAGATACGGATTTTTTTCAGACACTTTGGCTTCTTTACGAAATTTTAAAATTATATGAATACATTTAAGCAGCTCATTCGTCAATAACACCGGCACAGTACGTCCTAATTTTCCTCTTATGCAGAATCGACTATAACTTTCTGCTATTTTTCGATTCTCTTCTGATAATGATGTATCAAGAGACACGGTAGTGTCTTGTGCTAAGTCCCGCGTAAGCAACAAGACGCGCCGTGTATTATTACGCGAGTTGGATAGTTGGAGATGTTCGAGATTATCATATTGAAATAATCGCTGAACGGATCGAGTTTTTATTAGGCTTAATGGATAGCTTGAGGTTGATTTACATAAGAAAAGTGTTTTTATTTTTGCTCTACGTGCATCGTGAACAGCAATATTATGATCCAAAGTCGAAATATGAAAAATTTTCATTAAGAAACGTCTCCTTGGTCATCGTCGCCCAAGTCCCCAATGCGCAAGCGTAAAAAGTTGTACGTTTGCCGCATTCGACGTAAGATTGCGCTAGCGGCGCTCCGTGATGTTAAGACTATTATATACAGGGTGTCTCATTTTAATCGATGGATCCAAATTTCTCCTAAACTACATCAGCTACAAAAAAATGTTTCAGACAAAAGTTGTATGGCTTGAAGGGAAACATAAGGTGGTGTCATTTGTTTGGCATTGAAAAGTCACCTGAAGGTTACGTGAAGATCACATCCAACTTTTTAAATGGGATTTCCTATATGCTTTTGCATATTTTTTTAGTTCATCTCGAGAGCTTTCCGAAATACTATAATTAAGTTAATTTTCATTAAGTAGTTTTCAAGTTATGAGACTTGAAATCATTTTTTAATTTTAAGTCGTAAAATATCTAGTAAAATATTCATTTTTCGATTATCTTATCTTAATACTTTTATACTTAATACTTTTATCTTAATACTTTTACGTACAAAATAATAAGCAGAATCAAATGGTATAAAGAAAACATACAGTTGTTTAAGAAAAAATATGGAATTGTTAATTGCAAATTACATATTTTTTTCCTCTGAACAGTTATATGTTTTTTTTACACCCCAATTGATTCCTCTTATTATTTTGTACACAAAAGTATTAAGATAAGTTAAACAAAAAATGAATATTTTACTAGATATTTTACGATTTATGTAAAATTAAGAAATGATTTCAAGCCTCATAACTCGAAAACTACTTAATGAAAACTAACTTAATTATAGTGTTTTGGAAAGCTCTTGAGATGAACTATAAGAATATGTAAAAACATATAGGGTGTCCTATTTAAAAAATTGGATGTGATCTTCACGTAACCTTTAGGTGACTCTTCAATGTCAAACCAATGACACCACCTTATGTCCCCCTTTAAGCCATACAACTTTTGTCTGAAACATTTTTTTGTAGCTGGCGTAGTTTAGGAGAAATTTGGATCCATCGATTAAAATGGGACACCTTGTATACAGGGTGTCCTAGACCACCCGTACACCCCTTTTCTTTCAAAAACTAAGCATTTTAGAGAAAAACGTTTTAGACAAAAATTGTATGATTTTGAGGGGAACATAAGATGGTGTCATTGGTTTGACCTCGGATGGCATCGTTAAGGTCAGGTCAAGGACACCTTTAATTTCCTAAATGGAATCACCTATTTTTTATTGCATATTCTTATAGCTTATGTCGAATCAATTGGTCTAAAAAAGAACACATAATTGTTCCGAAGAAAAAATATGTAATTTGCAATTAACAATTACATATTTTTTCTTAAAAACAACTGTGTTTTCTTTTACACTAATTGATTCCTCTCATTATTTTGTACATAAAAGTATTAAGGTAAGATAATCGAGAAATAAATATTTTACTAGATATTTTATAGTTTATGTAAAATTAAGATTTTATTTTAAGTTTTATAAATTGAAAAGTACTCAATGAAAAAATACTTTATTATAGTGTTTTAGAAAGCTCTCGACATAAGCTATAAGAATATGCAATAA